TTTTTTCCCCTTTTTTCCGAAATAACGAAATGATATTAGAAATTAGAGCGCACGTCAACGGAATGATCCTAGTGCTTGTCAAAAAAAAAAAATATTAATAATAATAATAATAATAATAATATTGAAAGGAACGCGAATCGAAGAGAAATGATCTCTTTCGCGTTTATCCGCTATTCATCAGACGGACGTGTGGCGCTTCTACGAACAATTTGCCGTCTACTTTTTTTTTCTTTTTTCTTTTTTTTAGCGACACGTACAAACACCGTTCAGGGCGAAAATAGGGTCTCTACGCACTGCCACTCGTACGAAAAACGAAATTAACTAATCAGGTATTGAGTATTTTTTCGGATTTAGGATCGATAACGATAAAAGAGGAGAAGGTGAGAAGGAAAGTAAATACAATACTATATGAGAATGACGACGGAATTATCGCGAATAATGAATGGAAATATTTAGTTTTAATCGAATGTAAGAACGAAAATTTTCTCGAAACGCGCGTTTCACGTTCAATCAAAGAAAGAGGAGGAGGAAGAAGAAGAAGAAGAAGAAGAAGAAGAAAAAGGAGAAGAAAAATGAAATTCTTCTAGAGGAATAGAGCAACGAGTAAAATTCGTCGTCTCGTCGGAAGAAGAATTAATTTAGGAAAAAAAAAAAAAGAAAAAAATCAAGGAGAATTAATGAAAAAAAAAAACGAAAAGATAACGAATTGGCAATAAGTAAATTAATAATAAAGAGAGCAGCGCACATTTCCGTACATATATAGAAGGAAAAGGTGTTCTCGGGCGGTTTGGTTTTTCGTAGTATCTAAACATGATTTCAATAAATAAGCTACCTAGGGCACGAGTTGTTTTTTTTTGGGGGGGAGGGGGGAGAAAGGGGCAAGCGGCCCTTACGTGGCGAATCTGCGAAAACGAAGGAATCAGCAGGGCTGATACTCGGTACCTTTTTTTTCTCTCTTTTTTTCTCTTTTCTTTTCTTTTCCTTTCTATTCACGCACGCGACGTACGCGATTTCATCGATCGGAAATACGCGTGTTCGCGTGCGGAAGATAAATTCGCACGAAACGTGTATAATTATTATATACGCGAGGCCGAGGAACGTACCACTGATCCTTTTCGTTGAGTCGCCGTTACGTCGTATATCGTGTACCTAACCTAGTAATACAGTCTGCAGTAGCGTCCTAAGGATTAACTTCATTAACGGTCGTAATATATAATATATTACACGCAGTCACACGCGTTCACAGAGGCAAATATACGTACGCACGCAAAAAATGCACACAAATACTTTTAAGCTCGTACACGAACACGCAGTTTAAGCCGATACTCTCTCAATAATATATCTCACTCTCATTCCATATCCGAAAAATATAGATTTCTGTGTGAATTACACCGCCCGACGCGAGTGAAAATCGCGTCGAAAGCGAATCGTATTTCAAATACATGTCGTACAAAATATTCAGAGATCCTGTTATTTTTATTTATTCGTCCGTTTGTCTAAACATCGTCCCGGAATAAATTTACGAAAAATATATATATCACACGCTATCGCATTCCTGAGAAATAGCGTATGCATACCGATTCTCTGTCTCAATAAATTCCGTTTGCGTAATATGTATGTGCGTTCGGAGTAATCGACTTTTACGCACGTGCGTATTTTTTTCCTTTTTTTTTCTCTCTCTTCTTTTTCTCTCTCTCTCTCTCTCTCTTTCTCTCTCTCTCTTTCTCTCCTCTTCTTTAATATATGTATATATATCTATATATACGTATATGTATAAATAATATCGATTAAGAATAAAATAGTAAAAAATTGCTTAGACGAATGGAGCAGCCGTTGATAAAATAGCGATTCGAAGATTTTCGACCGCGTGGCGGAGCTTCGACATGAACGTGACACGGTGAGAACTGCGTGTACGTCGCGAGCAGGCAGGCACGCACGCACGCACGCACACATAATATTATCATACACGCAGGCAGGCAGGCAGGCACGCATGCACGCACGCACGCTACATTAGGCGGCGTAATTAGCACAGCGAGCGAGAGAGTCTTGCGCAGCGTGAGCTCTACTGCGCGACCACGCCGGAGAGTTACACCTTTTCAGCGCTCCCCTAATCCCCGGAAATATTTCCTTCCTTCCTTCTCTTCTTTCCTTTCCAAAAGAATGATGAACAACTATAGCTGCTAATAACTAAATTCTGTTTATCGATATCTATATACGACTAAATCAACTCTCTCTCTATCTCTCTCTCTCTCTCTCTGTTTTCGATCGAATCCGATTAACGCGCGATGAATTTACTCGACTTCGAGATCAACTTTTGAGAATAAAAGGGAATATTTCCATAGGGAAATGCGCGAAATACTTTGGTTCGTGCATCTCTCCGCGCGTGAATTGCGGTCTGTGACAGCGCTTGAAGCACGATAGCTGTCCGATTGCGCAACGATTTAGGCCGATCGCGCGCAACAAACGTACTTAATATTCTTCCATCGCTAAAATCGATCCCCTAAACTGGATCCCCTAAAACGAATTCTCACGAAATATTTTCCCTACTTCTTACTTTCTCCTCTGTCGGTTCTTTTTTTTTTTTTTTTTTTTTTTTTTTTTTTTTTTTTTTTTTTTTTCTTTTTCTTTTTTTTTTTTTTATCTATTTTATTTCACTTTATTTCGTACGTACGGGGGAAGCTAACACTCTTGGATTTTTTTTTCTTTTTTTTCTTTTTTCTTTTTTCTGGAAACGAGACAACGAGAACGATCGAGAGAGATAATCGGTGAAATAATGAAATAAGAAACGAGCAGTACGGGTAAGTTCGTTAATCGACCACCTCCAACTAATAGTATCAAAAATTTAGCGATGGAACGAAAGGGAAATTATGGATATATATATATATATATATATCGTATGCATACTTGCCTGAAAGGATTCAGTCGGGGGCAAGTGTGAAATGGAATTTAACGACGCGTAACGAAAGCTCTAGCCAACAAGACTGTCTTCCTGCAACTCGGTACGCTCCGTTTCTGCGTTCTCGAGCGAACGTAGAATTTTCGTTGTTGCTTGTCGTCCGTATAGCGAGATGCGGTTGGTCGTGTGTGTATCCGTGTGTATGCGTGTGCGGGTATTTTTGTGTATACGTATATGTGTATGTGTATGTGTGTGTGCGTGTACCCAAGCGAGCAGGAGACACGAGGCGAGCCAGCCAGCTTTTGTTCGTTGCGATCAATCGAGGCGCGTGCTTCGAGCCGCGTTTCACGTGGTGCCGCGTTAGTGGGTTCCTGACATCTCGACCGTACGTTCCACCAGCGTATTTGGCAGTCTGATCTCAGGTTCTCACAGATGTAGATGAGGCAGTCTTGATCGGCGAGCCAGTGCGCGGCTCAATACTTGTTGGCCTCGAAGAGACGGCTCTCGTGCCATCTTCGCGGTGCGGACATCTTCTCGCGTTGCATCTTCCAACGATTCGAGTGCCGATAATGATGCGTCGTGTGGATCGTCTCCCTCGTGCTGTCCGCCTGCAACAGGGAGTTCTTCGTGTCCCTCGCGGGCGACGGTTTCCTCGACACAACGTACGGATCCCTAGGCCCCATGCCGCCCATGTCCGCGTTCACCAGGCTGTTGTGGTGATTTATGTCCGCGTGGGGATTGTACTTGATGAAATTGAAGCACTCCTGCCGGCCGCGATTCTTGATCGGGTACCCGGACTTGTTGAACCCGAGATACCGCGAATTATTCACGTTTCTGTACGTCAGATACGAGCCGTTGTACTCCTCGTAGAACTGACAATAACCCTTTTGCTTCTTAAGCTGCGAACAAAAAGATATTGAAAGATACCTCTCCTCCCTCCGTACACCGCGTGTAAAGAAAAAAAAAAAAAATAAAAATGGAACAACTCTACGCGCAACAAAGTAGAGGNCGAATCACCGCCGACAATTTAATAATCTTCGCTCGCAAATTATACTTTTAACGAGGATGTTCTCTAATGTACAACGGATATATATATATATACTCATATAAAACGCCCCGTACAATCCGTATACGCGTATAAATTTACTCGGCAGCGCGCGATAATGAAATATGTCTACTAATTGGCGGGCAAGTGTAATTACCAGGCCGACGAGTTTCCATTTCTTGTTGAAGCAGATGTATCGCTGGCTCTTCTCGGCGAAGATGTACAACATTTTACTGAAGTCCTCGGACTGGGTCGTAAGTTTTTCTGCAACATCAAACATAAAAAAAGAACCGTTCGATTAAACGAGTGAAACGACGATTATTTTATTTTTTTTTTTTTTTGAAATTTTTCGACAATGAAAAAATGGAGCGGAAAGGAAATGGAAAAGAGGCGAGAATAATATAAATAAAAGAAACTTTATGAAATGATCGAGAGGTATCGGTTATCGAGGAGAAAACCGCAGGGTAGTGGAGGAGGTAACGCGGCGGTTGTGTGCGTTCGGTATGCGAGCTGGCATATTTCCGAGAAGAGATCTCCTCTCGAGGTTTATAGCGCGAGTTGTACCTACATCGATGCTCGGGGAGAGAGAGAGAGAGAGGGGAGGGGGG